TGTTATAGTATACGACACTGGCCATGCCATTTCTAGCAGTGACGCTACCTTGCGAGACGTCAAGTCAGAGTGTTGCAAGAGAGCGGACTTGCAATGGTTGATACACTAATCACGACCCAAGCGCAAGCGATGCAGTGCTGCTAGATGATATCGGTTCTTCGCGTGCGTTATCGCTTGTATTGAAATCGGTCATGCGTGAGACATAAACTTGCTGGCTCAATGAGACAAGTAAAGCTCTCGATGAGTCGCTCGTGTCACCGACTGTCCACGTGCTCGATGTACGTGACCTTTCAGGTCTCGAAGGACTGCATGCCAAGTTATTGGCCTTGATGCGACGTCAGATTGCGACATCAAACCAGAAGCATTTGGACCAAAGTGACAGCGTGGTTTTGTTGGGAAGAGCAGGAGGCTCTGCTGCATGCGTCGCTCAGATTCCTAACATTAGTGCGTAGAGAAGCTTTGCGTAATCTCAAGCAGTCGGTCAGCGCTCGCGTCCACGGCTTATGTACCAGCTAGTGGAACAAGGAACTTCCAGGGTATTTTATCTGAGGACCCGGCACTGGGGCATCCATTCTGTGTTCAACTTGATCTCGCTGGCCGAACGCGAGGTGGCTTCAGCGGATAGAGTCCAGTCGGAGTGCAAACAAGTGGCAAAAAGAGATGATGATGGTGCGCTGGCTATGATAGGAGAAACAATTCCCAAATTTTCACGGTTCAGCTCAAGCCAGTCTTTTTCCCTTCGGGGCAGTCACGTCGGAGGGAATCCTCCCCTTGGGGAGCCGACGTGGTCGAAGATCTGACGCGGGCACGCTGCACTCGCAGTCGCGGGAGTGGGCGTAGGAGACCGACGGGTCGCGCAAGCGGCCCTAGCAGGGGTGTTTTACGGACTGGAGGCGTACCCCGCGCCACGTGTCGCCGCTGCGGCGAGCGCACACTCCACGTCAAGGGGCCGCGCGAGCGGCTGAAGGGGCCACCATCGCAGATGGTTGAGCTCCTCGGAGAGATATACGGCGGGTTGGCGTTCTCCACGCCACGCAGTCACTTCGGTGATCGCACTCCACGTCGGGGGCCGCGCAAGCGGCTGAAGGGAGCCACCATCGCAGATGGTTGAGCTCCTCGGAGAGATATACGGCGGGTTGGCGTTCTCCACGCCACGCAGTCACTTCGGTGATCGCACTCCACGTCGGGGGCCGCGCAAGCGGCTGAAGGGAGCCACCATCGCAGATGGTTGAGCTCCTCGGAGAGATATACGGCGGGTTGGCGTTCTCCACGCCACGCAGTCACTTCGGTGATCGCACTCCACGTCGGGGGCCGCGCAAGCGGCTGAAGGGAGCCACCATCGCAGATGGTTGAGCTCCTCGGAGAGATATACGGCGGGTTGGCGTTCTCCACGCCACGCAGTCACTTCGGTGATCGCACTCCACGTCGGGGGCCGCGCAAGCGGCTGAAGGGAGCCACCATCGCAGATGGTTGAGCTCCTCGGAGAGATATACGGCGGGTTGGCGTTCTCCACGCCACGCAGTCACTTCGGTGATCGCACTCCACGTCGGGGGCCGCGCAAGCGGCTGAAGGGAGCCACCATCGCAGATGGTTGAGCTCCGCGGAGAGATATATGGCGGGTTGGCGTTCTCCACGCCACGCAGTCACTTCGGTGATCGCACTCCACGTCGGGGGCCGCGCAAGCGGCTGAAGGGAGCCACCATCGCAGATGGTTGAGCTCCTCGGAGAGATATACGGCGGGTTGGCGTTCTCCACGCCACGCAGTCACTTCGGTGATCGCACTCCACGTCGGGGGCCGCGCAAGCGGCTGAAGGGAGCCACCATCGCAGATGGTTGAGCTCCTCGGAGAGATATATGGCGGGTTGGCGTTCTCCACGCCACGCAGTCACTTCGGTGATCGCACTCCACGTCGGGGGCCGCGCAAGCGGCTGGAGGGAGCCACCATCGCAGATGGTTGAGCTCCTCGGAGAGATATACGGCGGGTTGGCGTTCTCCACGCCACGCAGTCACTTCGGTGATCGCACTCCACGTCGGGGGCCGCGCAAGCGGCTGAAGGGAGCCACCATCGCAGATGGTTGAGCTCCTCGGAGAGATATATGGCGGGTTGGCGTTCTCCACGCCACGCAGTCACTTCGGTGATCGCACTCCACGTCGGGGGCCGCGCAAGCGGCTGAAGGGAGCCACCATCGCAGATGGTTGAGCTCCTCGGAGAGATATATGGCGGGTTGGCGTTCTCCACGCCACGCAGTCACTTCGGTGATCGCACTCCACGTCGGGGGCCGCGCAAGCGGCTGAAGGGAGCCACCATCGCAGATGGTTGAGCTCCTCGGAGAGATATACGGCGGGTTGGCGTTCTCCACGCCACGCAGTCACTTCGGTGATCGCACTCCACGTCGGGGGCCGCGCAAGCGGCTGAAGGGAGCCACCATCGCAGATGGTTGAGCTCCGCGGAGAGATATATGGCGGGTTGGCGTTCTCCACGCCACGCAGTCACTTCGGTGATCGCACTCCACGTCGGGGGCCGCGCAAGCGGCTGAAGGGAGCCACCATCGCAGATGGTTGAGCTCCTCGGAGAGATATACGGCGGGTTGGCGTTCTCCACGCCACGCAGTCACTTCGGTGATCGCACTCCACGTCGGGGGCCGCGCAAGCGGCTGAAGGGAGCCACCATCGCAGATGGTTGAGCTCCTCGGAGAGATATATGGCGGGTTGGCGTTCTCCACGCCACGCAGTCACTTCGGTGATCGCACTCCACGTCGGGGGCCGCGCAAGCGGCTGAAGGGAGCCACCATCGCAGATGGTTGAGCTCCTCGGAGAGATATACGGCGGGTTGGCGTTCTCCACGCCACGCAGTCACTTCGGTGATCGCACTCCACGTCGGGGGCCGCGCAAGCGGCTGAAGGGGGCCACCATCGCAGATGGTTGAGCTCCTCGGAGAGATATATGGCGGGTTGGCGTTCTCCACGCCACGCAGTCACTTCGGTGATCGCACTCCACGTCGGGGGCCGCGCAAGCGGCTGAAGGGGGCCACCATCGCAGATGGTTGAGCTCCTCGGAGAGATATATGGCGGGTTGGCGTTCTCCACGCCACGCAGTCACTTCGGTGATCGCACTCCACGTCGGGGGCCGCGCAAGCGGCTGAAGGGAGCCACCATCGCAGATGGTTGAGCTCCTCGGAGAGATATACGGCGGGTTGGCGTTCTCCACGCCACGCAGTCACTTCGGTGATCGCACTCCACGTCGGGGGCCGCGCAAGCGGCTGAAGGGAGCCACCATCGCAGATGGTTGAGCTCCTCGGAGAGATATATGGCGGGTTGGCGTTCTCCACGCCACGCAGTCACTTCGGTGATCGCACTCCACGTCGGGGGCCGCGCAAGCGGTCCTAAAGGGGTTTGTTGCCTTATATGGCAGCATACCCGCGTTGTACGTGCTGCCGCTCCGGCGGTACGCATGTCCCCAGTCTACTTGGTCGCGCCAGCGGTCATGATTGACACGTAGTTGGCTTCGGTAGGAGGGTCTCTGACCTCGTTGCCGTCGCCCCTGGCTCTACGGAGCCCTTTAGTTGTCGACCCGATACCCGGGCCGTACTTCTTGTCACACTTATCAGTCGTTAGTTATCATAATAATGGACGTACTTGACACCACCACCATGATAGGAGAAACAACAAGAGCGTGTGGACAGTGTCTTACGATGAGTCCACAGCAAATGGTGCCGCCCTTTTTGCCGCGACGACTGAGACTCGTCGGACAGTTTTTGCACACCACGAAAGCAAAGACTGAATGTGTCGTCTGCGTTGGACTCGTGGGAAATTTCCACGAGCTGGTGGTAGACTACCGGCTGAGCAAATCAGTGCTCTCTGGTCGAGCGTGGCCTTTACATGCCCAGCGCGTTCCAGAGTACCGTCGCAGTATCGGCGACGGTACTGCGACGGTAAAACACATGACGAGGACCTGATCCGTGACGCTGCTGGTCGTGAATGCCTCAGAGCCAGCTATTAGCAACGACCAGATCGATTGCGCTAAATCTAGTTTGCACACAAAAAAGTGGCAGATTTGCCCCTCATCAATATGCACAATGATGCAGCAGACATGGGGAAGTAATGAATCGTAGACGAGATCATTGCCAGAGACTACTGCAACGTACTTGTTGAGCTCGGCCTGCTGTCAAGTTTGGAAACACTCGGCTGCAAGTGGCATATTCTGGCCAAAGTGAGTGATTCACGTCTTCTGTACAGCATGTCAAACTGAATATAGGCATGTGAAAGCAAGGGAGACGGTGATTGTGTCAGGTCGTGTTGTGGCAAAATGTCTCCGTTTTCTTAACCAAAGTAGCAATGCTGGTGTCGTCGATCGACCCGTTATTTGCATATGGCTCGCGACCTCAGTAGGTACCTTTGTTAGGCGGGTGCCAAGTATCCCTGTGCTTAGAACTAGCGTGTCCCCTGTACTTTTGTGTGAGCCGATCTCCGATCTCCTGTAGCGAAACGCCTGAGATACCAGAGGCATAGCTGAACGGATCATTGTGAGCACTACCCTTCCCACTGCGATCTATTCGCCCTCGAAAAGAGCTTTGTTTCGTCTGCATGCAATAGGCAGTGGTACGTATCAAGCACCGCATATACTGCTCTCTGTTTCGTTCGGGTTCGTTGATCGTGGCACCGTCTCAGAAGCAGTGGAGTGGAAGTACGTATTTCAGTTGTTCTCTCCCCACAAGCTGAAGACTCGAAATAAAACCAGTCACCAAAGCAAGCACAGACACCTGAGCTCTTCCCATTCACCAGGCGATGTAACTTTGTCACCGCAGAACAGCTACTTCAATGCCCAGCTTCTGTGCGATTCGAGCTGAAGCCCTAACATGCACCGATCAGATAGAGACATCTCGGGGTGACACGGTACAACCCACATGCGTACGTGTGCCGCTCCGGCCAGTTGAGATTGCTCCCCCTGCAAGTGTCATTCACGAATTTGCCTCCGACCCAAGACGTAACTAGCAATCCAAGATGCACTTCCGCGTCGTTCTCGTCCTCGTCGTGGCCACCATCGTTACAAGCTGCATCAGACCTACCAGTGCGAACCTTTCCGCTAGCGAGGGCCGTCACGACGAGAGGACCGAAGCTCACTATCTTCGTGGAGAAGACGCCCTCTCGGCAGAGGACAGTCTCTTGGAGTCCAGTCCCTTCGACAACAAGCCGAAGCGTTCTCCCTCGGAGGAGGCCCCGAGCGCTAAAGCAGCAGACCAAGTCGAGCTGACTCTTGTACGTCAAAAGAAGCTGGAAGCTTTATCGAAGATAAGCGAAGAGAGAGGAGGCATTTCCTTGGGCCAGTTCATGCTCTGGGGCTCGCTAATTGGACTGACTGGAGGTGGCGCGATGTTGACATACCAACACTTGAAGAACCCGTCGCACCCACACGAAGCGGCATTTCCGGGCAACATGACAGGCGCTGTCTAAGCGTCTTCATGCTGTAGTGCGTGGCTAGTCGACGTCCGTGGACCTCGTGCGGCAAGAAACGGCAGGACACTTTCTTTGAGTAGGTTGACCGAGCACTTATAGTCGATGATGTTCTGCAAGGACTTTGGCCACGTGATGTAGTGTTTGTAGTGAATATACGCTTTTTATGACTCGACGTCGTTGTCGGTCTTTGTCTTTGTGAGGTTTGCTAGTGCTGCGTACAAGTAGTTATCGCTGGTGCATGCAAACTAAAGCCGCAGGTGGGTCTTGGCTGCTTTCAGTTATGGTGAGATCAGCAATGACAATCTCTTCTTTCACAGGCAAAGAGGTGACCACCGCACCGGTCTTTTAGACAATGCACGGTTCTTGTGTAGGGCTAAACGCACAGTCTAAGCTGAGTGAGCAGCCTCACGCTCCACTCACCTCTGGTGCGACTACCGTCCATCCTACTGCATAACCTCTCATGGCGTCGTGTTTGCTACACGTTTTGCCATGACCTATCTAGCCTTCTACCTTGCGTTACAGGCGTATGTCGCTAGCCGGTCACCGCTGTGAATCTTCACTTGCGTCAGATCAGCTACTTGCTATTGCGTTTGGTCGTCGAAATGAGTTGGCTTCACACCTGCAGCAAAGCGTTAGTTGCTCCATATTAGGTGCACACATACTCGCACTAGGCATCGTGATGCGTTTTACGCGACTCGACGTTGTTCGTAAGACTCGTCATCGTCTTTTCAGCTGACGCCTACTTGCGCCATCGCGACAAAGATTTGCCCTCGAAGCTAAGTTCAAGACCCTTCGTACACATGGCCACGAGGGCGTGTGTGTTGTGTTTCGCGTGTCGGACACTTACCGCGACGCACAAGACAAATCATGATTCGAAAAGAGCTCACTCAGTCAGATACCCGTAGGTGCTGCAATCCATACACCAAATCCATTCTACTGACGTTTGCTCACAACAAACAAACGCTGTTGCGGTCTGGTAGCAGTCGACACGCAGCAATCGCCCACTTCGTTGGTCTTAGACCGAGAGGTTCAGATTGTCTGTGTTTAGATCATCTAATTGCCTGTTTTAGATCATCTGATTGCCTGGTTTAGATCGTGTGCAACGTTTCTAGGATCCTTGAGCCAGGAAGAAAGCCCCTTGTGACCTGCGGGCTTGAAGTGGCTCCTCCTAGTGGTACATGGTAAGTGACTACATTTGCCCCTCCAGCAACTCGAAGCATGCATACAGCATAACACCTGTGGTTGCCGACACTAGTTTCGATGCTCTCTCGTTGCGATTACTCAGACTTGTCTCGGCATGATGCCAAAGATCTATTTATGCTTTGAAGTATTAATCAGTGCTTGTCTTCGACATGTATAAAATCTGTTACCACAAAATGCATGACATGTCAGGGCAGTATACGCCTCATTTCGTCCATGGCGTCCGGCCACTTCCACACACACACACACTTGTGAGTATGAAAAAGAGCGAAACCGTGCGAGTCATCGAATGTAGCATTGCGAATCAGAAATGATGCTGAATAATTAGCATATATAAATTAGTTTGGTCTAGTTGTGAAAGTCACAAGCACAAACGTAATCGCCTCATTGGCCATCGGGACGAAGACCGTCGAGACAAAATCTGAATATGGCTCAAAGTTGAACACTGCAGCATCATATTCGTACTATAATTCTATGCCATCACAAAATGATTAGCGGTGGCTTTGCTCATCATTTTGAGTTGGAGCGAATGCAGTTTAATTGCATGAAAAGTGTCTGCGTGCACAAATAATTAATTGAGTCTAAATTGTATTTGTGTACGTTAACTGATAAAGGAGTAATCACTGCAAAAATAATGAGCACTTTATTTGTAGCAAAAGCTCTCATAATGTTGAAAAATCTTACACACTTTGAGCTTACACAGTACAAATAATACACCTACAGCCGTATGTGATTCTCGATCATATCAGTAATGTTAATGCAGTCCATTATGACGGATGGGGCAATAATGAATATGCGTGACTCGCACAAAGAAGTGATTTCAACATCAAGATCGCCGAACAAACATATCTTTGACAGCCAAATGTCCGTGCAGTCGGTATGCACCGCAATGCAGGTGCCTCAATGCTAACCTATTAGACACACAAAGACACGCCTTATACCTTAACCAGCGCTACTATATCTTGCACTGACCAGCGGACTAAAAGTCGCCTAAAAAAGGGACGACGCAAAGATACCCTTTTTGTCAACTCGCAGTCGCACCCACAGCCCTTCTCCCTCCCCATGTTATCGACAGCTCATTCGTCTTTTCGCTCTCTCGACGAAAAGACCCCACCAACGAACTAATTGTAAAAGGATCTTCTGCCTCCGTCTCCAGTCCATCTCCTCCCTCTCGCTGCTTATGCTGCTACTGCACTGCTCGCTGATCTATTCGGCATTGCTGACGATCGCCCTCGGCGTCGCTCATGGCGCCGTACTGCGTGTGCCAATGATCAAACGTCCAGACGACGAGTTCGTGTCGTCGCTTTTGAACGACGTGCGAGCGCTCGAGCGCCCTGCGGTGTGGAACCCTTCGATCGATGCGCTCGAGACGCCCTTCGTGGACGCTGCGGTACAAGGCACGGGCAATGTAATTGTCCGCGACTTTCAGAATGCACAGTACTATGGTGCAATTGCCATTGGGACGCCGCCCCAGTCGTTTGCTGTGATTTTTGACACGGGTTCGAGCAATTTGTGGGTACCGGACCGGAAATTTGGGTCGCACAATGTGTACGACCACAACAAGTCGTGCACGTACAAGGCGAACGGCACGGCGTTCGATATCCGGTATGGCAGTGGCCCTGTCTCGGGGTACTTGTCTCAAGACACTTTGGAGCTCGGGGGGCTGGCGGTTCCGGACCAATTTTTTGCTGAAGTGAATGTGACGCGGGGGTTAGGGCCGGCGTATTATTTGGGCAAATTCGACGGACTATTTGGTCTCGCGTTTGACGCGATTAGTGTGGACCACCTCAAAACGCCTTTTCACCAGATGGTTCAAATGGGTCTGCTGGACGAGCCTGTGTTTGCATTTTACTTAGGGGACCATAAAGATGGCGAGTTGACGTTTGGCGGCCTGGACAAGGCACATTACAAGGGCGAACTCACGTACGTTGATGTGATTAGCTCGACGTACTGGCTCGTGAAGCTCGATGCCGTGGAGGCCAAGGGAGAAAAGCTGGTGGATGTGGACAAAGCGATTGTGGATTCGGGCACGTCGCTGATTGCAGGTCCCAAAGATCAAGTTGCCAAGTTGGCTGCGCTAGTGGGCGCACACAAGTTTATCTTGGGCGAGTACCTCATTAGCTGCACTGCTGCCGCACCGGACATTTCGTTCGTGCTCAATGGCAAAGCGTATACGCTGACCAAAGACGAGTACACGCTGAAGACTGGCCCCATCTGTCTGTTTGCCTTCATGGGCATTGACATCCCGGCTCCTGCTGGCCCGCTATGGATCCTGGGCGACGTTTTCATGCGCAAGCACTACACTGTGTTTGATTGGGGAACAGACTCCCGCAAGCCGCGCGTCGGTTTTGCGCTCGCTGCCTAAGCATGGAATATCGCAGGATGTCGTTGCGTGTGGACACACGTGCACGCTAGCAGCGAGAGCTGTGACCAACAAGCTGACAAGCGAGTCAGTAGTGACGATGAATGCTGCGTGGATTGGTATAGCGTGATGCGAACGATAGCAGATGCCGAGGATGCGACGGGGTATGCTACAAACATGGCGCTTCGAAACCTTTTGTGTCTGTTTTGTGCACGATCTGCCAATCGGTCTTATGTCTGTTGTTCTAGCACGTTGCGACGGTTGGCCAAGCTCGAGAAGCAAGTCATGCAGGTTTGGCAAATCCAACACTGACTAGCTATTGTACTGGACTTGACGCTGCACTTATCTGATGGTAGATATTCCCCTCTTTTATCTCCTACCTTCGTCCTAAGATGCATCTGCGGAAGTGTAAGGATGATACTGCATGGATGCAGTTATTCATCTCATCACCATCGCATGATGCAGCAAGCGTGACGATACACGTTGTAACATGCACTCGGCGTCAACAAAAGGAGCAAAACATGAAGAAGAGCTATACCAAGTGCATCCTTTGCTCCCATTTTCCGCCAACGCAACTACTTGATTACTACAAAAGTGACGCTAGTTGCTTCGATGGGCGTACATTCCTTGCCATCACTGTCAATGAGGAGGTCAACGCGAATGTTTTTATCGTTTGTATCGGGAACCAACTTCGTCCATGCTAACGATTCTATCGGCTATCACGTACATCAATCCTATCGATTATTTCGGCCAACAAGAGGCACAAAATTGTATCGCCCCTTGTTTCGCGATCATGTACTGATGAACCATTTGTTTAGTTCACTAGGATTGACTCTCGCTGCTGTCTCGGGGGCGACTTTTGACCAATACCGTACGTAGCTCCGCCTCGCAAGAATGCCGTTCGCGCAGGTTGTGCTGGGGCCTCCTGGCTCGGGCAAGACGACGTACTGCAATGGCATGCAGCAGTTCTTGCAAGCGAACAGGCGAGACGTGGCGGTCGTCAACATGGATCCGGCCAATGAGCAGCTGCCATACGTCGCCGACGTGGACGTGTCCGACTTGGTCTGCCTCGAGGCTGTTATGGACGAGATGGCCCTCGGTCCGAACGGCGGTACGTGCGAACCTGTCAACTTTAATTTATCGAACAAAAAGAGCGATTAGGAATATGCGTTGTTACAGGATGTTGAGACTTGACTGTTTGTCTATCGTGTTTGTGTGTGTGTGTTTGTTTGTTTGTGTGTGTTTTTACTGCAGGACTCGTGTACTGCATGAACTATATTGACGTGAACTTTGACTGGCTGGACAAGAAACTCGCGGCGCTCGAGGACAAGTACGTGCTGTTCGACTTTCCAGGGCAAGTGGAGCTCTACACGCACGAGAATAGTGTGCACAGCATTTTGCATAAGCTGCAAAAGAGCAGATATCGAGTCCGTGGCATGCGTTGCTGTACTTCTTGTCTGGTCAGACACATGGCAATGGAGTGACGTTTGGTAACTTGCTGTTCTTGTTCTTGTTACTGCTGCTATTGCTGCTGCTACAGCTGGCGGTAGTGCACCTCGTGGATGCCCATCATTGCACTGACAGCTCCAAGTTCGTGTCAGTGGTCATGCTGAGCTTGTCTTCGATGGTTCGGCTTGAACTGCCGCACATCAACGTGCTCTCCAAGATCGACCTCATGCAGCAGTATGGCAAAACAGGTATGTTTCCTCGGCTTCAAGCGCGCTGCCCTATCTTTTTGCTTGCCTGACGACTTCTGGTCGTCGTTTGACTAGCGTTCAACTTGGACTTTTACACGGACGTGCTCGACTTGCGGTACTTGCTCGATCGTTTGGATGAGCCGGACGACGCTGAAGATGAGCAGCAGATCTCGCTCGAGCCGCGGCAGTCAGCGATCCCCACGTCGCGATTCGCTGAGCGGTTTCGCCACATGAACGAAGCTTTGATCAATGTGATTGAAGACTTCAGTCTCGTGAGCTTCTTGCCCGTGCAGATCGAAGACCCCGCGACACTGCAGAAACTCATTGCGGCTGTCGACAAGGCCAATGGTTTCGTGTTCACGGGTGTAGACTTCCAGACCGCTGTCGTCAAAGATTACGCGTTTGGAGACCAGCGCGCACCTGATGTCCAGGAGAAGTACATTGACCAGTAGTACTGACCCGCAACGAGAAGGATCAATGTTGTGTTGCTCACTTGCCATTGTCGTCTCACTTTGCTGTCTTCTGCGCCTATCCTGCCAAACAGCAGCTGCTACTCCTGTACACAGCATTCGACAGGCGTACAAAAGTGCTGCGAGGTGCGCGTAGATAAAAGACGACATAGATTAAGACGACTTTGATAAAGACGACTGCCTCTCTTGTCGCCACGAGACTGCCTTTACTAACGATATGATGGATTAGCGGAAGGAAGGTGTCCGTCTATGGGACACTTACATGCCAACCTTAGAAAAATATACCACCTTCCTCTTCTTCCGTCGACTCATCAACGTTGCTGAGGTATTGCTCGTACGTGGACGATGTGGGGTGCAGCAGAGGCATCCCTGTTGACGACAACGAGCTCATAGACATGGAATTGCGACCGCTTCCCAGTCCACGTCCTGACCCGCCCAACCTTCGACCAGCTATACCACGACCTGCCAGAGGCCCTGTTGTGCCTGGCTGAGAGTTCCCTTCTATCACAGGCGCCTTGTCGCTCTCTGTTGAACTTCCAATCGGCGACGACTTCATATCCTCAGCGCTCTCGTCACTCATGTAACCCACACTACCCGACGACCGGCTTGGTCCTGTCTCATCTCGCTGGAATGATAGAAGCTCTCCGCTGCACAGAACAAGCACAACGTCAGCTAGATCCTCCTAACAGTGTCAACAGCAGCGTACATACCTGGTACTGACGCTGCGATCAAAAAGTCGCAAATCGTTCATTGAGAAGTTGCGCTTGGCGGCCGTAGATACCTTTGTCATCGCGTGCACGATTTCCATGACTTGGTCCACATCGTTCACAAAGTACTTGGCTGCACTAGGCTTTTTGCCTACGGTTACCGTGAACATGTTTGGCCGGCCACGCACATCCTCAAGGTACTGAAACATGAACTCGTCCGACAGGTCGTCGCCTATACACAAGATGAAGTCGGCGTACTGGCCGCTTGTTGACTCAATTGTAGACATGACGCGGTCCACGATGACACCCTTGTCGACACCCTCTGGACGCACTTCGAGATAATCTGTACCTGTCACCACTTCCACCTGGAAATGTTCCAACACCTGGAGAAGCTGATCGTGCAACTCTTTAGCTTGCAGCTGTCCGAACTCTGGGTCAGCATCACGATACTGCCACAGCAGCGCACTGCCTTTCAGCTCAATGTATGTGCCGTGTGTGCGCTGCGTATAAATATCCATGACGGCGTGCGTCACATCCTTCCACGAGTCATCGAAGTTATCCTTCGTGCAAAGCCACACGCTCTCCTCCACATCACCCCCCATGCTGTTATAAGTACTGCCACGCGACGGCGTTGCACGACCGTTTGTTGTAGTAACATTCGTGCCTGTTCCCCACTTGTACAAGTAGCCGTGTTCAGCAGCAAGCCCCAAGCCACGAACCGACCCTAATGTTTTCTCTAAGTCCAAGCGTTCCTTGCCACTCAACACAAACACTGTGTTCCGAGGATCGGCACACAACAGAGACAAAGATGCTAGTAGGTCGGGCGACGCCTTTGGCGCTTCCGCCTTCGATACAAAAGCGTTTTGCTCGCTGCCTGTAATGTACTTCGAAAAGTCGTGCGCACCAGCAGACTCCTCCAGCGTCAGCGTGTTACCATAATCAAAGAAGATCACGCGGCGGAACGTCTCCCGATACGCCTTAGCAACCACGTCAGTCTCCAGCATCTTAAAACCGGCGTTAAACTCCAACATCCGAAAACCCAGCCCGAGGCCGTAGCCCATGTAATCTCCTTCCGCAGTCTGCTTTTTCGTGCGCTTCAAATCGACAAGAATACGCTTCGCCCATTTCGTCCGCGAGTTCGTCGTGATGTACTCCAGATCTTTTTGGTGACGTGCAGCACGCTCCTCGTCCGACATGGTCAACGCAAGCTCCATGGCATGGACCATCTCCTCACGCTTCCACGGATTCACACCAACGCTACCCGTCAATACTCGACTGCTTCCCGAGAACTCCGACACGATCACGACGCCTGGCGACTTGGCCAGCTCGTGCGCGTACACGAACTCGAACGGATACAAATTAACAGCATCACGAACTGAGGTAGTAAGCAGAACATGACCTGCGCGCCACAGCGGAAGTCTAGATGCCATATCTGTGCTTTCCACCTCCGAGTAGGCAACAATTAGCCCCTTGTGCTGCACGCCAAAACGGCTGTTGATACGCGTCGTGTGTGCGAGGATCTCAGCGCGTACGCTGTTGTTTTCCGGGGTCGGACTAGAGCTGTCCCAGATACCGATCTGCACAAACTGCACCTTGTCCACGTACTGCGGGTGCTGAGCGAGAAAAAGCTCGATGGCGCCAAGCTTCAGTAAGATGCCCTTCAGTCTCTCCACACGGTCCACACTTACAAACACCGTACACTTGCTGCTCCCGTATCTTTCGGCAAGCACCACAGCGTCCTGCTCAACCTGACCGCTAGAGTTGATCCGGTCCATGAAAGTGGGCTCGATCCCGATGTGGCTTATAGTCAGCATAACCATGCGACCGCTGTACTCAACTCCGATGTAACCGCCCGGTTGCGTACTATACTTTAGTCCAAGAATGCGACGACAGCTTGTCAGGAAATGGCGCGCATGCTCATATAAATGAAAGCCAATGTGGTCTGCAGCCAACACCCCCCGAAGCAGGTCTGCACGCATTGAGAGCGTGCGGAAGATCTCCGAGCTTGGAAACGGGGTGTGCAGGAAAAATCCGACGTTGACACAAGGTAGTCGCCGCGTGAGGAAACTCGGCGCAACCAGTAGATGAAGTCCATGAACCCATACCAGATCGCCTTCGTTGTACACTTCAATGACCTTGTTCACGAAAATACGGTTGACGGTCTTATAGCTGGTCCACGCACTGCGTTGCTGACCAGGATTCCACCAGCGAGTAGGCAGTGCGCCGTACACGTCCACTATGTTGTGGAATACAGGCCACAGTGTGCTATAGCAAAAGTTTTGGAATGTTGAGCTCAGCGGCTCCGCAAGAAACACGGGGACACAATGGAAGTCTTCGAGCTGTTTGGCCAGTCGCTCTTCGTCTTCCTTTGGAATAGCCTCTGTGCAATGAACGGTCCCTACCCACGTTAGTCTCATCGAACTAACGCGGTCCCAGCTCGCCTCGCGGTACGAGTCTTTCAGCAGTCCTGATGGACATATGAGGTTGTCATCTTCCCACTCAATATGATAGAGGCCCTCTGGGGTTCGACGTACAAGGACCGGCAGTCGATGGACGGCAATAATCACTCCATCCGTAGCCTCCATCGTCACACTTCGACTTGTCGTCCGAGGCGACGTGAGCATCGGCTTGGCTTTCGGCATGTCCTTTGCCGCCGTGCGGAGCTTGTTGACCAGACTAGCCGCATCCTCCTCACTTCGCACCCAAGTGGATTCACGCTTCAGCGTCACATCAGCAAGTTCCTTCTTCTCCTCTGCACTTGCGTCCGTCAGAAATTGACCGGATGCCAACAGACGCGTGTTCCCACGTTGCTGCATCGTGCTGCCTTTGTCTTCGCATCCGTTTGCGCGTCGATCGACGAACGCTTGTCCGGAACTAAGTCTCGGAATGACGCCCCAGAACGCAGGCAGCACGGGCAGCTCCTCGCCACACACAGCAGCACGGCTTCTGTCGGTCCCAACCCCTGCTCCACCGGCTGCTGCCGCACCGGCATCGTCGGCTTCGTCCGTCATCGTTCCCGTTGCACTGGCACCATCCCCTGTGCCGCCTTCGTCCTCCCCCGGCTGCAACAGCGGCCGGCTCTTCACGCGTCCGTCCAGTGTGTCTTGAGTCTGGACGTACCCCACGCCAACCGTGAGCTCCCTTGTCACCGGACCTGCCTCGATCGAGCCTTCGTACCGCAAGAAGCGGCTGCCCGAGCACACGACGTAGCGATAGTGCACAACCGCACCGGTAGGTACCAGCACGGGCTCGAGATTGTACCAAATCGGGTACAACTCGGGCGTCGTCACGAGCTGGAGCCCCGTGTCGGCCCAGGTGCCACCCGTGTTAAGTACGACGTCGATCGAGCCACCGAGCGCCGGGAGGTCGCCGACAATCCACAGCGTCTGGCCGTGTCCCAGCGCGGCACACACTTGAAAGTCCACGCGCGTACTGGGCGGAGGCGCAGGCAGTCCCCAGCCCACCGCGTGGCGCAGCCGCTGCAACATAACGCACGCGCGTGTGGCAGGCGGACGTGGACGTGTGCGGCTGTGGCTGGCGCTGGCTCTCTCTCTCTTCTGGCGCTGGAGGGCGCGCGTGGACAAGCGGTCACTCGGTCGCTGGTGCGAGTTGATTGCGTGGTAGACGCTTCGCTCGACGACTGTCTCGGCGCTTTCTATTGGAGAACAAAGCGGCGCGGGGAAGTGATGTGGGGCGTCACTTTAGTGACATTCGTGTGCGAGTGGTGTGGTGTGGCTGGCCGAGGTGCGGGCGGACACCCGGATACTCAACAGTAGTTTGCTGGAAAAAGAATAGTCGGTGCAGACCGAGGGGCGAGGGACGATCAGCAAATGGATAAATGCTCACCATCGTGACGGGTTTTGGCAAAAACTTGGCACTGTCGTATGGCATCCTTTTGCAAAGCAAATGGCAGAAAACGAGGGCATTATGGTAAAATCAGATGTTGCAGGCTGGATGGCGGAAATCGATAGCGCTTGTAAGCACTCCAGCGCTGTGTCCCCCTATCGATTGGCAGATAGAGTTTGATGAAAAGACGCAACTTTTGACTGGAATATCGAGCACGGGAAGGCACGCGGGACGAGCATTGCAATGCTTTTTAGTAACCATATAAATCCGACATGTCCGCTGACAGTCTTACTAACGTCAAATGGCCACTTATGTATAACCCACACGCAATTTAGTAGAGGTGCGCAGCTTATTGGAGACCATGAAGATTTTACACACGCACGCAGCAGACGGTCGACGTGTCAAGCGAAAAGCAGATGACTTATCGAAGCGAATCTGACCGTTACGCCAAACAGGACAGAAATCAGGATCCACAAATTGCTGGCTCATCCGATTTTGTTTGACTTTGTACCAGTACGTATGCGACAGCCGTGTAGATATGGTATATAGGCTGAGAAATATTTCGCAATGACACAGTAGCAGCAATCGGCGAGTCGGAAAACAGAGCACCTTCACCGCTCTGGACGTCAGACGGATGTATGGAAAACAAAGATTGGTGAGTGTGCAAGATGTCAAGGGATACAGAGTGCTCGACAGCGGTGATGAAGCCGATGAGGAAATAAAAAACAACAGAGTCGACGTAGTGCTGGGAAGCGTGCGACATGCGTTCGATTTGCATGATGTTAGCGTAATCCTTACCCAGCAACAGTCGTCGTCGCACTTGTCCCTGTCTGTCCCTCCCTCGCTTGCTCTCTCTCTTGATGGTTTTTGGCTGACAACACGTCATTGACCATGTCGTGGCTGCAGTGGAGACTGCGCGGGCGCAACTTGCTCGAACGCCACACGGTGCAGGTAGTCCAGTCGACGAGGTGTTCGCGCGCCTTACCTAATCTACAGTAAGCACCTTCAGCATATTGGTCGAGCCCGAGCGGGCTTCCACCATGCCGTGGAGGGCAACGACATTGTCGCCGGACTTCACCCAGCCATACTGCTTGCCCAAGTCCGTCGCGCGGTACAAGATCGAGTCCGTGCCGATCATCGATCCCATGCAGCGAGCCCTCACGCCCTTGTAAAAGCCCTCGGCCTGGCGAGCACTGCCAGCCATGGCCGTCAGCACCAGCACTGGCATTGATGGACGGAACTTGGACACCAATCGCGCAGTGCTCCCCGACTCGGTTAGCACGACAATCATCTTGGCTTTGATGTCGATCGCTGTCTTGACAGCCGACGACGCAATGGCCTCTTGCGTCGACATTGGCCCGTACGTGTCCAGCACCGCATTACGCAGCGATTGGTACACATCGTCGTAGTAAATGGCGCCCTCTGCTTGCACACAGATCTTCGACATCATCGTCACCGCTTCAGTAGGGTACTCGCCGTTCGCCGTCTCGCCTGACAGCATCACCGCGTCCGTGCCATCGAGCACAGCGTTCGCAACATCCGTGCACTCGGCACGAGTTGGTCGCGGGGCATGAATCATCGACTCGAGCATCTGCGTGGCCGTCACCACGGGTTTGCCAGCAATATTGGCCTTGCGGATCATCATCTTCTGGGCGAGAAACACCTTTTCCGGCGGGATCTCCATGCCCAAGTCGCCACGGGCGACCATAATGCCGTCCGTCTTGGCCAAGATCTCGTCAAAGTTCTCCAAGCCCTCGAGGCTCTCAATCTTGGCAATAATCTTGATCGAGCGACCCCGTGGCCCCAGCACTTTGCGAATGTTGTCAATGTCTTGGCCCGTGCGCACAAACGACGCAGCAATGTAGTCGACGCCGTGCACGAGGCCAAAGTTCACGAGGTCGTCCTCGTCCTTCTCGGTCAGCGTCGGGAGCATGACTTTGCAGCCAGGTAAGTTCATGTTCTTGCGCTCGCCCAGCGTCGCCGTGTTGTTCGCGCGCGTGACGATGCTGTCGGCCTTGATCTCGAGCACCGTGAGCACGAGCGAGCCGTCCGCCACGAGGACATTGCCCCCCACTTGCACCGACTGCGGGAGCTCTGCGTACGAACAGGCGATCTTCGTCTCGTCGCCGAGGAACTCGTAGTCGGTCGTGAGCTCTACGAGCGCGTCCTTTTGGATCGTGACTTTGTCCTTATTGGCCAAAAAGCCCGTCCGGATCTCTGGGCCCTTCGTGTCCAACATGATGGCTACATTTTTGTGCGAACGACTGGCCAGCGCGCCTCGCAGGCGGTTGAGCGCCTCGGCGTGGCTCGTGTGGTCGCCGTGGGAAAAGTTGAACCGCGCGACGTTCATGCCGGCGTCAATGAGCTCGCCAATGCCGTCTTGCGACCAGCACGCGGGCCCGAGCGTGCAAAAGATTTTCGTCTTGCGCTCGACGCCCTCGATGCTCCGCATGATGTTGTCGAGTTCGACGCCTTGTTGACTGAGACCAATAGCGCCCGACATGGTAGTGGAAGAGGACGAGAAGGGCTTGAAAAGAACGCGAGGAGAAGCGGAGTGAAACGGGGCCCGACGACGGCGAGGGGGTCTGGGCGCGAATTCGACTGTGACATGCAGCTGAGTGAGGTCGCGCTGATTTAAGTTGGATGGGCCGAGGAGGCGACGGAGGAGGCGGAGCGCTGATACCCTGTTCAAACGATTACTACGGTGCAGTCGACGTCCAGTCTGCAAAGCAGGGAAAGGTGCCTGTGAGAATGCATACCCGGTCCAATCGGATGAGGTGGTATCGCGTGTAAAGCAGCTGCTACCGACGGAATCATTCGCCGCAATCGCGTAACGACGTCGGCAGAAGCACGCATTATATCTTAGGTCTGTCTGGCTCCTTCTCGTCTTAGAAATGAGGAACAGCAGCGGCGAAGGCCTTGCTTGGGTATGCGTACGAAGGACGGGACTTAGACGGTGTCGATAGAAGCAGCGCGTGTGTTCATAGTCTGCCACGTTGATCTCGATCCAGACAGAGGTCCCTTCAACTATTACGTATCTGCTGACTACCAACCTGACCGATATGGATCGCCGGATCGAATTGAACGTGTTTGCTGCGCGAGATCGGCTGGTGCTTCGACATGTCGTTGGTGAGCGGCAGAATGTACGCGACGTAGCCGCGTGATGCGAGACGCTCGCAAGACGGTCTCGCTATACCCCATTTCCGCGTTACAGGAACATTCTTCTACTGATCTTGATCTCCTGGTTGACTTGGTGAGCACATTCAGTCGAGTGCATCCGCTCTCAGATGTCGAGCAGCACACGCCTGTTGTGCGCTCGCTGCAGTCGTCGGGCTTGCACCAGCAATAGCTGTTGGAGGCATAGAATGAAAGTCGACAATGGTATCGCAAGCGTCGCGATGTCGGAGAGAAGCTGTTGCTGATGAGTCTGGAAAAGCGTACAGCGACAGCACTTGTACACGTCATCCACATATGGTCTCCACGGAGGCGGCAGTGCCGTTTGCCCTCTTCGGAAATAGCGGTCGTAGAGAGGACCCTCGTGTCGCCACGTCACTCTCACCACCCCTTTGTCACCCATGCCAACATATGTGGTGCAAAGAAGTGGATGTCACAAAGCTGTCGACGTAATCGCTGCCTTCACTGAGTGTTCCTTCGGACTGCGGACTCATATCGGAGGTACTATGGGTTTCTGCGCGACACTTTGTTTTTCGAGGTGGTCATGTTCGATGATGAACAGGCCGCGTCGTCGATTTCCCAGTGGCTTGTGACGACTTTGCCGCTTTTCGCGACGATAACCTTGCAGAGACCCTCTTCATGAACCTTGTCCCAGGTTCGTCGACTGCTGGTGGAGCTCAACCATTTCTGCTTAGCCATTCTTCGATGGACGCTTGTACATGGACATACGGAGGAGCGAGATGATTCAGTCTACGCTAGTCATTGCCGAAGTTGGACACGAAAAGGACAGAGCCATTATGCTGACGAATGTGCACGACAACGTGTTCGAGGTCTTAACATACTCAGACTCATTTACTTTTACGGAGACTGAAGCCAATCTGTGCCAAGAACGGGCTGCGTCCTTACCTGGATGGGGTCATTGGAAATAGAATAATCACTTTCGCATCGTAGACGCTTCGGATAGAGGTCAGCGCACACTGCGTAAAAAGTTATCGTGTTGTGGGTAACGAAACCGCTTGTGCGAGTTCTACTTGGACACGGAAAGTGGTGGTCACACTGGAATAGGGAGCAGTACCAGTCGTATCACGGTTTGATGTGCGTACGACACTGAGGATACTTGTGCCGATTTGGTAAGCACGCAACTGCTATTCTACTCGCGTTTACAAGGATCTGATAGTAATTTAAGATGTAAAAAAAACGGTGATGACTTGATCGACACTGGCTGTAACGGGGCACACCCTTGCGTGAACTTAACGCAAGGGTATCGGTGCCCCGACAGACGTACACAAGGCAAGCGAGGAAGCGTAGGTAAGGTAAAAGCAGAACTGTTATATTAATATAATTAAGTATTTTAACTACTGTCTCTCTGTTTGACTCAACTTAATTATGCTAATATAACTGAGTGTATGGTGACGTCTCGTCACCACTCATTGCGCGCGTCTTGCGGCGATTGGTGGGTTGATATCATCAAGATATCAACCAATGAACAGACTCTTTGGTCGACCCTTCAATATCACCACTTTGGTGATATTGTTCAAAGAATATCCATCTTCATATTCTTTATTGTCACTTTCTTCAAAGTGACAATTCCATGTAACGGGCTGCCCCGTTACATCACCCCCCCCCTTAACTGATAGTCACCGTGTGACTATCGAAAATATGGCAGCCACCCGTTGGCCACCATTGGGACAGGGAGCACTTGTTGGGTCCGTTCCATTCACTTTCCGCTTGACCTCGCATAGTTAACATGTCTATGCGAGATGACTCAAGACCTACACAGCCCGCTGCTGTGCCAGCCTCTGCGGCAGACGCTTCGTCGTCTGCTGCTCCTTCTCCGCCTGCAGCAACAGGTGCTGCAGGTGTACGCGGTACAACACCGCGTGCGCATGATGACCCCGAAGTTGAGGTCATCTAATCTGGCAAGTCATACGTGTCTGAATCGGGCAATGCTGCAGAGGCGTCTCGATCACCGGCGACGCCTCAGCATTCGCCAAGGCCACTGCCGAACGAACGGACTCGAAAGTTGCATCACAGTCTGTTCGGCAGTGATGATGAAGGTGAACAGGGTGGTGAGGAGTATTATTCCTTACCACCGCCGACTCGTGCCTCTTCGCACAAGCGTGATGACGATGGCGTGAGCCGTCGTCATTCTGGGAGCCGTGGTACCGACAGAGTTACCACTGTGAAGCGTGATGAGCTGAAGCCGTGGCGTTTGCCCGAACGGCTCATCAATGGCTTGTCTCACGAGACAAGCCAACACCATCGAATACCCTTATTCGATGCGACTGAGCTTCACGGCTTGAGTTCCAGCGCGAAGAACTTTCGCGCTGCAGCAGATTCCTATCTCGATGTCTTTCTTTGACATCGATGGTACAACGGCAACCAAAAGCGTGACAAGGCCTCGCTTTTGGCTGCGTGGAACGCGTTCGTCCAAAGCGTAAAACATTTTGGACGAGAAGGGTGGCTCAAGAAACTTGAGACGACACGTCTCAGGTTCGAAAAGCGAACACCAATCGGTGCAAGATACCGTTTGCGCTGTTTATCGAGTGAGGCAGACATTCCTTGCCTCACATGGGGATGCCCTTGTGCGAGTTGTGTTGACAGCTCGCAGCGTGTACATAGGGACGTGTATTCCCTAAGTTCGCCCTGGGGAAGGGCACAAATCTCGGCTGAGATGCGTGACGCGCTTGCAAACTTGCAATCCGTCTACAAGCGCCTAGGGCGCGTGTTTACCGATGGGCCACAGGACCAATCGGATGAGTCTCGTCATACTGGCGGACGAGACCTTCAACGTCCATCAACAGCTGAGAGTGGGGCTCCCAGCTGTTCCAAGAGGGTGGATACCCCCGCCACTGGACGAGGTAGCTCGTCCTTGATCCTGAATCGTCACGGTGATTCAAGATACGCTCCACTAGAAAGCGCTGATCACCGTGAGCATCCACCAAAGGATGTGGTGGAGGAGGAAAGAACTTCTCCAGATGATTCGGCTCACTATCTCGACCTTTACGAGATGGATCGCGCAATCGATGAATTGTGCGATGACTTGAAGCACGAGTGCGACCGGCGCTTCGCTTTGACTGATACCGTGCGGAAGAACCGCAAGGATCGCGAGGCTTATCGGGCGAGCGGTCGCGCCGATTATGCCACAGCGCAGCTTCAGGTCGAGCGGGATATCCGCTCCCTTTCCGGCGAGCTGGCGACAGCTCGCGGGGAGATTTCTCGGTTGAGTTCCGAGGTATCATATCTGCGCGACCATACGGATCGTCTGGAGCGCGAACGCAAGAACTTGATGGATGTTCTTGAACGTGGGGGCTATCTTCATCGGAAGAAGAAGTCTCGTACTGACAGTACGGCCTGAGCCTCCCCACGTTAAACGTAGGATACGTGCGCATCCTACGTGGCAATTCGAGTGTGTATGCATTGCCCTTGCGATACAACACTCGAAATGGCCCAATGTACTTCGGCAGTAGTTTACTACTGCCGACACTAGTGACTGCATGTCCAGGTAAGTTTACCGTAGACAGTAGTACTAGGTCTTTAACCTTAAATGAAAGAACATTTGCTCTTCCATTCTTGTCTGCGTTCCGTTTCTGACGGTCCACCGCATTTGCGATGGAGTCCTGAACGAAACGGACTACGGCTTCTCGAGTCAACAGGAAGTTCTCTGCTGACTCTTTGTTTTGTCTTTCAGTGCGCTTCGTGCGCACTGCTAAGAGATTGCTCTCTTCTTCAGCGAGGCTGTCTTATTCCTCGCTGTCATAATCGTTGACGATGCTGAATATAACAGCATCGTCATCATCATCCGAGTCAATAATAGCGTCGCCGCTATTATTGAGGTGATCTTCTTCATCGGTGTCGACTTGATCGACATCGGCATCATACGTGACGACGTTAGCGTCGACACGTGATGAGCAAGAGCCAAAACGGTTTTTGCTCGAGCGAGTCCCTCCCCCCTTATCCAAGAGTCACACTCTATAAGGGTGGGCACACGTGGATGGCGTAGGCCATTCACGTAAAACGGTGTGTGCTGTGTGGAAGCATGCACCGAATTATTGATGGCGAATTCCACCATCGGTAGGAATTCGCTTCAACTCGGAAACGAGTGGACATATCCTCGAATGATCTCTTCCAGGACACGGTTCGCACGTTCCGTCTGACCATCTGTTTTGGGATGGTCAGAAGTAGACATCTTCAATCGTGTTCCGAGAGAACGAAACACGGATTGCCAAAATATCGCCGTGAACCGAGGGTCACGGTCGGATAAGAGTTCACGGGGTAACCCGTGGAGTCTAGAGACCGTGTAAAACCTTGAGCCTTGATCGACTCAGG